TGGTTATTTATTTATGAAACATTCTGAAAATATTTATCAAACAAGTTTTTAATTAAACTAAATATGTAATATGTTTCAAATTATTAGTATTTTATTAGTATTTTTTGAGACTTGTAATATACATATTAAAATATAATAAATCTTTATCAATGCTACATATTTAAGAATAATTTTCTGCAGGTTAAATATATTTTTTTAAAATCGAATTAGTTTTGTTGTAAAAAAAAAAGTTTAGCTTGCAGTGATTAAAAAATCAAACCGATTTCGTCGGCATAGTTTGAAACTTTTCGTGGTAATTTTATTCAATGGTTTTTGCACATACATGTCTGGCATACATTAAATTTTAGGGATCAACTATTTAAGTACACGTCTAATTAATGTTAAAACCATATATACTGCAATAATTAGGGTAATTTACCGGCTTTAACATTTGCTTTGGAGTTTCTTGGCCGATCACTAATTCACATGAATTAATTTTAGTTTCACTAGCTTAATTGTTAGTATTTATGGATCTAACTATATATATATATATATATAAAAGAAGGATAATGATAACGTTTATTTAGATGATAAATTTATTTCCAATCATAATTGGGTCAGCATTATGCAGGTGGCCAATCACAATTATAATTTGGTCTGCATTATGCATGTAGCCAATCATAATCGAGTCAGCATAATTGAGTCAGTACTATGCATGTGTGAAATGATTACAGTTTATCGTTATGTCGTGACCAGTTTCGAATAGGCCAAAATAGGCCAAAATAGTTTCGGCCACATGTCAGTACACAATAAAAAACTTCTCAACAAAATCAAAGATTTTTAAGATTTTTATTGGATACAAAAAGTACATATGTACATAACAATAAACACGATGTTCCAAAAATTGCCTTTTATGTAATATTTATAAGTCAAAAAAAAAACTTGTCGAGAATAAGGTATTACACACTACCGTTATTGTCGTACGGGACGTACTTATGATTTACCGGAAAAAAAACACTAAATTCCATACCAAAGTTATTGTTAAATGATTAACTACATCTAAATTTAGAAATAATAATTCGACGGTTTTCCGTCATTAGGTTTATTTATACGTACGTACACACATACATATCGGCTAATTTTGGAAATAAAATCACAAATACTGGTGCGTATAAATTGTAACATGCGTTTGATTAAAATTTCTAGATTTAATAATTACCGATAAGAAAGTGTACGTACAAAATAATTAATTGACCTAAATGCTAATTGCAAGATGTTTCATAATTTAATTTACATGTTCAATGACGATCAGATTCCGGGACTAACTACCCGAATAACTTTAAAACTTTTCGATAAAATCGAAAAAATCGAAAGTTTCACATTAGAAAAAATAAAAAAAAATGCCGAATGAAATAAATAATGAAATGTATATATAAATATATATGTATGTAAAAAAAATGATAACGTGTTCTTTTTGTTAATAAATACAGTTCTAAAGGCAAATCGTGCCCCCCCAGTCCATGAAATCAACGCCAAGTAAATCTATTAAAAAAAAGAATTTTTTTTTCATTCATTTATATAAATTATTATTATATCACAAAAAAAAGTACATCGAATAAAATTAGAGATTAATATGTTAGTGTGTAGCGGTTAATCTGGTAAAAGAACGATAAATAAGGTGTGATTTCGGATTACAATAATGAATATTTGACATATCCATTGTGACAAAACATTTTATGTATTCGAGTTTTTAGATCTATCCTAGGCGTTTTATTTTGTGAACCCATTTGTATTTCATCCATTAACAGGATATTGTACGCAGGAGGGGAAGCACAATTTGCCCCATGCACTTAAAGTATCCCTATTAAACGTAAAAAATAAAAAGAAAAAAAAATCAAAATAAATAAAGCATAAGTAATAAATTTACATTAAATCAAATAACAGACAGAGAACTTTGATGTACAACTACGTCTTTCGCTTTGCAAATGTCTTGTTGAGCAAATATAGTATTTTGTTCACGTTAAGCTGTACATATTCAAGGTCCAAAGACACAACATTATCTTGTTGCTATTAAAAAAAAAACATAATAATAATAAATAAATAAATATTTAGATATTCGAATATTAAGCATCGTCAATTGTTAATATAGAAAATGCTACCTTTTCTAGTAGATCGTCTAACTTGAGATCCATTTCTAGAATGGCAGCGTCACGCCCTTTGTAATGAAGTGCGATAATGAATGTACCCGGCATTGGTGAAGTGATAATGAAGAAAATATTCTGCCGTCTGCAATGATAATAATAATAATGATAATATTTAATTTTTAGATTATATATATGAAATATTGAGAATAAAACTGACCGATTCTCTGGAACATTGCTTTCCACAATGATCCCATCTTTCTCTAATTGAGCATGCGTGAATTTATATGGTCCCAAAGCTTTGTGTTTTGCAGGTTTCTTTTCTTTATCTCCTACTTTAATAATGCTTGATCCAAAACCACCAGCACTATCTTTTACTGTTTGTTGTCTAACATTTTGTAGATAAGCTTTATAACTATCTAGCTGACTTCGAAGATAATTATTATGATCACATATAGTCTTATATACAGATTCAAGTGATTGAATCTCATTAGTGACTTTTTCACGTAAATTACCAAGATGTGCTAATTCTTGGGTGACTTCTTCTGTCATTAGTCGATACCCATCTTTAGGATCTATGACAGAGGCATCTTCAAGCTCACGAAGCATTTCTTTTACTTTGATACCTTTACGAACCAATGTAGCATCCTTGCTAGTTGCTGCTGTCTCTGCAATCTGAAGAAGATTTATTGATCGCTGTTCAGTCATTTTTGGAATGGAACGAATAATTTGCACAAATATAGATTTAGTTTCCATGTATAAAATATCATTTTGTGTTACACTATTATCATACAAAAGAGCTGTGGCAATGTCTAAATAAATCAAAAGTGTTAATCAACAAAAAAAATAATAATAATAATAATAATAATAAAATAAAATGTGAATCTTCTAGTAAATTATTGACCTTGTATAGGAGTTTCCCATCGACTGAAAAGAGGAAGTTCTACTGTCTTATTTTCTTTCCTAGAAACCTGAGGTGGAGCTGGACCTACTTCTTCCAAAAGTATTCGTAAGTGACTTTTTTCTGAAGCAGCCTATAAAAAATGATGTATGGTTATTTTTTATAGAGTAAAAAAAGGTGCAACAAACTACAAATTACCAGCTCTTCTTGGTGTTGTACAAGTAAAGCATGTGTATTGTAAATTTCATTCAGTGTTATGTTAATAACCAAATCCTTTTTTGAAAGAGCCATGTATTGATCCATCTAAACGTAAGTTTAAAAAAAAAAAAAAAAATTAAATAATTACATAATTCGTTAATAAAATTTCTGTCATTGCAATGTCATAATACTTACCTCTAAGCTCTCATAAAAATCGCCAACCTCACATAGTTCCAATAAAAACTTATTTAGTCTTTGTTTATTACTTTCAACAAAGGGATTTAACATAATCATGTATTCTTCTTTCAAATAAGTTGGTTTGTTTACAAGATTTTGCAATACTTTTGCAATCTTTAAATGAGAAAAAAAAAAAAATTTCAGAATACATCATGAAAATACTAAAATGAAATCCAATTATATAAATACCAGAGTCAACGTCCGTCGTGGGTGCTTCCCCGGTATACCTTCTACTAGCATATATGCTTGTGGAGTGACAATTGCCGGATTCACAAACCGGAGGAAGAAAAACCCACCGATTAATGTGCAGATGGCGTATTCTGAACAATCAACATATTTTCTCTAAATGAACAAAGTAATAATAATAAAATAATGATAAAATAATGATGAAACAATTAACAAAAGATATAAATAGATATAAATCAAGGACGAAACCGAATAAATTAAATTACTTTTGTTAACGACCGAATTTGCTTGCAAATCCATCGTATACCATAAGGAGTTTGTTCGATAGAATCCATTATTGTTTGAAGGAAAGAATTTGCAATCTCCATTAACATTTTTATTCGTGGAGCTATAATAGCCTGTACATCGGGATTCGCAGCAGCAACTTCTGACGTTACACTGCGAGGAAGATCCTCAGGTAATGGTTTATTTTCTTCTTCATATTTTTTTATCATTTGTTCATAAACCTACAAGAATAATAAATTAATGAAAATGTTTTAATAACCTTAAATTGAACAATATAGATGTATGAAAAGAGAAATTTCAAAAGCGTACTTTTAGAGGATTTATTTCAAGGTTTAAATCTTTGTGTTCTATCAGGTTGTTAATTCGTTCTGATAATACTGACTTTAAATAACTCTGACCAGGACCCCGACGGGTATACGTTGTCATCATACGCGAGACAGGGGTATTTGCTCGAAGTAACGAATTGAAATCATTTATCTGCTCGAATTGGTTGGAAAGCACAGACTGTTTATAAAATTAATTGTTAGATTCAATAAGAATTAATAAGAATTAAATAAGAATTAATAATTATTAAGAATTAAATAAGAAATTAATAATTATTAAGAATTATTAAATTAATAATTAGTAAGAATTATTTAAGAATTACTAAAATTATTAGGATTAAATTTATTTACCTGAAACATCGTCAATAGTAAATGCTCTTCTCTACTCTCATATTGATTCCCATACAGCGTAAACATTACCGTCTGTAATAAGGTATCGATTTCGGTAAGACTAACATGGCGACATAGATTAGCAATGTGACGCGGTTCCGTCTGAAGGAGAAAAAATAAATTTCCATATTGTTGTAATTTACGATCATCTGGAAAAATTCCATCTGTTGGCTCTAAGTCTTCAAGATGACTTTCCACTTCCTGTTTCTGTTATTTATACGCATTTATTTAACGAATAAGAACAAAATTATGACATTAACAAAGAATACGAAATTAAGAGTAATTATTGTTGAATAGTAAAATACCTCATCTAATGCCATGCGATTTTGAATTAATAACGCTATTCGAGAGTCCAAATATCGAACATCTCGTTCCAGAACGAAATTTTTTTTCGATTGTGCTGATATCCTGCTTTTCAATTCTCGTAAACGTCTTTGTGCTTTTTTTTTTTTTTTAAAAAAAAAAAAAAATCAATTCAAAAAAAAAAAAGGAAAAAGAAAAAAGAGAAAAAGAACCAAATCATTCCGAGTTATAATTTTAAAAAATTGAAATTTTCTATTTTTACTATTTTTACTATTTTTTTTTTTAAAACCATTTTAC